AGAACAAGAGCTGGCATCACAGACTGGTTCCCAGTAACATCAGGAGTAAGACAAGGTTGTGTATTATCACCTTTACTTTTCATAATATTTATGGACAATATTTATAAAATAGACATAACACCAACAGATGTCGATAAACAGGAGGACTTCAATGAGCTGCTCTTTGCCGACGATCAATGCATATTTCACAGTGATAGTAAACAGCTGCAAGACCACATAAACCTACTACACGACAGTTGCCTCAAGCATCATATGAAGATCACTACTGAAAAGACAGAAGTCATGAGCATAAGTAGAGAGCAACAGACCATCGACATAAAGATTCTAGATCACAGCCTAAAACAAGTGCAAGAATTTAAATACTTGGGAAGTATCTTTACATTCAATGGTAAAATAGACAGAGAGATCGAAGCAAGAATCCAACAAGCCAACAATGTCGCATACCAGCTTGCCCAATTTAAAAACACCCTGCTGTCCCAGCTGAGATAAAACGACAAATTATAAATACAATCTTTATACCGACATTAGGTTATCAATGTCAGACTTGGACATTAACAAAAGAACACGAGAGAAGACTAACCACCTGTGAAATGAGATGTTTGAGAATGGCTGCGAATAAAACCAGAAGAGATCGAGTGAGAAACGATGTGATTACAAGAACTATTGGAACCATACCCATCGTTAAATTTATTGAGAAGCAAAGAATGAAATGGTTTGGTCACCTAATGAGAATGGAACCAACGATGCCAGCATCAAGAGCATACAACATGAAAATCGAAACACCAAGAGGCAGGGGAAGACCAAGAAGAAGATGGATTGAAGGAGTCATGGACAACTTGAGACTTCATAACATCACGGCATATGAAGCGACTGAGCGCGCCCTGGCTCGGTTGCCGATCATCTGATAGACTGCGACGCCTAGCGGCACAAGCAGATTTTGACAAAAGAAGAAAAGAAAGAAGAAGAAGTATGGATGCATTTGTTATTTTCTTTACCCTTGATATTCTTAGAATCCGTCTTTAACATTTGTATTTAAAGGCATTTATGTGCTGTTCAGCTTGTTAAGTAAGTGTCCAGGTCTCACAGGCGTATGTGAAAAACCAAAGTATAAGTTGTAATGTCGATAGTCATGGAATTACAAAGAAAGAAATTATGACACACACATGCAAGGCATCGCAAACTTTTAAACCCTGAACAAAAAATGACTACAGTGGTTCCTAGTTCTTCGAATACACTCACACATTGACTAATTCAGTGCCAGGCAACGCATTATGTATTTGTTGATGTCAGGGGTTACGGTTGACTTGTCTGGTCCATCCAGTAGTTACATTAACTAACTCTGCATTCCCAGCTTCCACTTTAACCCATTATATTCCACTGTCATTATTCCAACTCTTCCTACCAATTTGTTTTCTTAGAATATAACTCTTCGTGTAGGTTCCGAGTCACATCATGGGGATAGGTGGCGGGAGGGGGGGGGGGTAAGGGGGGGGGGAGGGCGCGGGACTGACCTATCTGCTGCTTAACAAGCATATTGTAAAAGGTGACACACTAATTAGAGTTTAACTGAAATGGGATGCAATTCCGTGCAGTAGATTCTCTCAGTATGATGCAAGTCTTAGAAATGCCCCCCCCCCCTTTCCCCCCCCCCCCAATCCAGCTTCTCGCTGTCACATCAGAAGTTCAAATTGTAATTTGATTTCACTGCTTATGTCGCTCCCCTTACAGTGCCACCTGATGTGATCGTATCTATATCATAGCCCGACACGGCTCTGATCGAATGTGTGAGTGACGTTCAACCTTACCAGGCCAGCACAAAGGGTGATAAACACCCAGTTACACAAAGTGCTATTATTCGGATGAGAATCACCCGGGCACAAGTCCCAGAAACCGAGTTCAACCGTTAGGTTATATTTGAGCCCCCGACAACAGCCTGGGTGGGGGCTTTAAAGCCACGCGTCTCAAATTCGATCGGATATGTATGACTGAAAGGCGGATGTATCACATCTTGGATGTAAAAAAAAAAACACAACATGCGAACCGCCATTCTAAAGGCGAGCCCAGAAGAAGTAGAAGAATAGAACGCATTAGAACTAGGAGAGTTCAATTATATTGCTTTCTAAAACTGAACGTTTTTATCTTCAGATCTGTAAACATACCGCTCTCATTGACTCGTAAGTACGTCTATCCAGTTGATACCATCTACAGACAGTGCTGCTGAATTTGTTAGGCTATCATTACCGTCCACTATACAATTTATGAAAATCTTGTTGGGAACTGATTGTTTCAGCACCGGAGTCTACCGCTCGTGTCTGTTGCTCGGGCGCTTGTTAAGTCGTTTGATCTTATCTTGATGAACTGAAGAAACGGGTCATGTTTTCTACAGAATGGAACCTTCGTGTTCATCACTCATTGTTTCTAAAGTAGCTTTTTCTTGTCAGTTTTGATTTGCGAGAATGTACCGGCTCGCTGAGTTTTCATTTCCCCCCTTGCTCTACAGAGATCATTTGGAATTGGATTGCTATATATTACAAGGGTGGCCACAGTTAGGCTGCTGGGGGTTGCGGTGAGTCTCTAGCGCCGAAGTAATTGCTTTTCATATCTGGAGCAGATTCTGTAACAAATGTTGCTGATTAACTATAGATAATGTTAAAGAGAGAGAATAGATGGAAAATACAATGTAACGGCCATGTAATAAGATCTACCAGCCTCTCAGTATGGAAAAAAAGTAGGAGAGGCAGGCTCAGATACCCTTGGTTAAAATATTTAGCTGATCTGACAAGCTTCAGATATGCAGACATCCCGTCTAGTGCGTCTGATTTTACTTTAGTTTGTTAATTACCCGACCGATTATCCTCTTGCACATCCAACAAGTCCATAAGTCCCGGATCCCACCTTCAGTATATCCCACAGAGTGTAGCGACTGATAACACCATATCTTTATTGGTTTACGCTTTTTCTTCATTTGTCTTTATAGTGTTCATGTTTGGCGACACTTCTTTTGAATTGGAATTAATATAGTCTTTTGAGTGTTGCCGATTTCACGTCGTCTCCTAAATCATCTTCTCGCAATGACTCGAGTTCAGATCTTTAAAATACAAATTCAATGAAAAACAACTGAGCTGTATATTGTGGGAATAAAACCAAATAGGGAATTTTGGAAGAAACTGGAAATAAAAAATAAAAAACACACTTAAATACTAACTAGGCAAGTGAAATTTTAGTCAACGTACTTGAGGGAATAGATGACAGATGATCAAGAGGTAGACCAGCATACAAGTGGGAGATATGGAAGAACATCAGCTGAGATAGAATACAACCAGGCCGAATGCAGGAAATAAGGTTATGTTTCTCTGAGCATTTTTGTTCACCACATTTGCAAATGAGACGCAGGGACATTTCGTTTGATATTCACTGGCACAGGAAGTGAGAAATTATGTGGTGACCCAAAGGCAGTGAAGTTGAAAACTCGACTACGGTAAAGACTAAGAAATCATCCTCCTAGTGCCCACTGGTTTATAAAATATAGGCCTAGCACTATATGCCCAATACGCTTGAATGTGTGGAAAAGGATCTGTTACCTAACTCACCTAGTTCCTCCGTTCTATGCATGGATCTATCAATTTGTTTATATTTCTCATGCTATCACCGTTCCCTTTCAGTCCATTTTTCTAGTTGTTTCAACTTTTCCCAGTGTTATTCTTCTCAGAGGAGCGGTTGGCCAAACGATTAGAATGCTGGGCTCTCAAGTGGGAGACCCGGGTTCGAAACCTTTGTAAGGCTGGGGATTTTTTCTATCCAGGCAAAATAAAATACCTCACTTGCATATTGGTGGCGACAGCACTAGCCATGCGGCCGTAAATCCTCACACAAAATCCCCCCTACATACACCGCAAAAGTGGTTTAATAAAGGCAGTAATTGGCATTTGTGGAGGGGGAAGGGGGGGGGGGCAGATTATTCTCAAGGTGTGCCACAAGAACGCATTTTATGGTGTCAACTGTTTTCTTTCTGAATAATTTATTTCAGGACATCTGTATTTCACACACTGTTCAGCGTTCACAGAGACCTCTGTCAGTCCCTCTGACATGACTGAACGATTACCTACCTATTTCGATAATTTATCATTTCGCGATGCACCCTTTCATTCTCTTATGTTTATCTGCATTTTAGACCGTTTTTGGTCGTTGAGTGATGTACAAAAGACAGTGAAGTTCATACTAGAGACAACATTGCTGATAAAGATAATCTGTTTCAAGCGAACGAAAGAAGAAAAAGAAGACCAAAATGCTCTAAGGTGGAGACTGCTGAATTCCCTAGCATAGCACAAAGTGCCTAATTAGTGGATGAAGGAACCAGTAATATAGAAAATACATCTTTGTTGAGCATTAGAAAAGTATATGCCACCTGGCATGGCACATAATGTTGATGTCAATATGCAAATATTTTAGAGCAGCGGAACTCAACCTGTGGGTGGCGACCCTTTTGTGAGTCAAACGACGCTTTCACAAGGGTCACCTAAGACAATCGGAAAACACATATTGGTTGAAGTTATGAAGTATCAACGAAAATAATTGTACAACACGAGCAACTGTACTAAAGGGTCGCCACAACATGAGGAACTGTGTTAAAGCGTGACCATCGATAGTACTACCGACGGTCTCGGTTAAAGGGTGGCGGCATTAGAAAGGTTGAGAACCACTGTATTAGAGGAATAAAAGGTACATCAGTGACGTCCTCTTACCAATTAGAGTTCTCGTTCTTTTCAATGTTCGTAGCAACAACCGGAAAGAGTTGAGAAAGCAACATAGAGAGCATGACTTATTTCGTGAATCCTTTCACCTGATGGTTTAATCATTATCGAAAATGTATCTTTGCTTGGTAAAATCATCTTTGTTCATGACATGTAACCAAAGTCAGACGCAACTTTCTCTTTAGTCGTAGCTTCCATTTCCTCACTGACAAGAGAAACTGCTAGCTGTTACACTTCATAAGTGGTCCGATGCCGTTTCTCCACCCGCCGAGATTATTCCAACCCTTGTGGAAGGAATGGGACTACAAGGCCCAAAGGAAGGGTTTTACACGCAACGTGTATTCCGTTAACGGAAATGTGTATGCTGGGGAGTGGTTGAACAACAAAAAGCACGGTTAGTGTTCATTATTTGACTATTATATTCGATTGTGAAGCAAAACAAATCCCCCCTCCATGTTGCGTAGCGTTGACAATCATGTCTTTCTAAACTCATCTCCGTCATGACACGCAGAAAAGATCAGACGTAACTTTTCCTTCTGAAATGTCAGCCCGGCTCTCCCCCCCCCCCCCCCTTCTTCCCCCACTTCTCAACAATTTAAGTATACGAAGGATGTTTGAACGGGTCTTTTAAATGCCTATGTAAATCTCGCCTTGTCTGTTGTATCTAGCACGCTATGTCTATCACTAGCATTCTTTGTTGTTTATTTTCAAACATTTATGAAGCAGATGATCGTACATTGCATAATGTCCAACTGTCCACTATCTGCTCTCTCTGGGAACAATGATATTGATAAGCGAATACATCGTTACTCTTTCCGTACCAAAACGATGACTGGTGTAAGGAAGATTATTTTTATGAAGGTGTTATGACAATTAATTAATGTATTAGGAGTTGAAGGTAACCCTATGAAAAAGAAGGAGTTAAGGTAAGAGTTAGGACAGAGTCGGTTATGTAACATTGGAATTGTTGCCATTGGGCTCAAAAAGGTATGCTCTGAGAGTTGCTTGCTTGTTGCTTGTTGTCCGTAACAACATCCTGGGCCTCTAGTACAACACATTCGTGCTCCGCCTCTGATGCAGCAGCCATCGCAGTTACTCTGATCCCCGTGTGGGTTCCAGGGCCCCATTGTGAGGGAAAACAAGAATAGATCCACTGCCTCCCCAACAAGCATGTCGTAGGCGTCTACAAATTGGGTGCTTCCTTCGAAGTCGAAGTGTATCTGCCCGAGTTGCAAGGAACAACGAACTGAAAAAAGAAAATACCACAGTGAAACGGATGTACATGCAAAATTGAGTCCCTGGCACAAAGCCAGATAGACGAACAAACAGGACTTTCCGACAGAGCTTACAGTCGGTGAGCAAAGAAGAAGAAGAAGAAGAAGAAGAAGAAGAAGAAGAAGAAGAAGAAGAAGAAGGAGAAGAAGTTTTTCTGACAGCTGAAATCAACAAATGCATGACGAGGAGCTTGTTACAGGAGTAGTTAACTCTTTAAGTACAAAACAAAGCACCGTGCCTGACTGGACATTAAAGTCAACCTGAAAACATCTTTAGTATATTTCTACATCTTAAGTTTAGTCGGGGCAACACTTTTGTCTGCTACACTGTGCTGTATATTCAGTCCTTGCGGATGTAACATACCTATAACTGTGTTGTCCTCACGATGCCAGCTGGGCATCGACTATGATCTTCTGGTACTGAAAGATGTAAAGAACTTGCCAGCTTTTTTTCTTGTAAGCTAGTCGTAATGGCTGCCGTAAGCAGGTTCAGTTGGCTATCTGGAATATCCATCCCCTCTGGCAACTTGTTCTACCCATATACCATTTGCCCACCTGTCGTGTGCCCCACAAAGCACTGGTTTCTATAGCACTAGTGATAGTCTAAGGAGAAAATTGCATGGTTAGCGGAAGGACACTGAAAACGAAAACATGATCTTCATAAAGCGTAACATACAATTTGACCATTCCGACTCGGAGCCACACACCCCAAAACACAGAGGACAAAACTATAGACAGACATTAAGTACAGTTTATTGCCTCTACGAAGTCACATAATATTACACTTGTTTGTTGTGACAGTACAAAATGTTTACGTTTCTTGATTTCTGTGCAGTCACATTATATAACACTTCCTTGTTCTGGAATAAAAGTTATACATTTTCCTGATTTCTGTGCAGTAACATTAAACAACACTTTCTTGTTGTGACACCATCTTTACTTTTCCTTGGAACTAAAAGTTATTATATTTTTCTGATTTCTGTGCAGTCACATTGTGTAACATTTGCTTGTTGTGACACTAAAGGTTATTTAGGTTTCCTGATTTCTATGCAGTCAAATTATATAAAGATTGCTTGTTGTGGCACTAAAAGATGTTTATCTTTCCTGATTTCTGTGCAGTTACATTATATAACACTTGCTTGTTGTGGCACAAATAGATATTTACGTTTCCTGATTTCTGTGCAGTCACAGTATATAAAATATTATTGTTTTGGCACTAACAATTGTTTACTTTTTCTGATTTCTGTGCACTCACATTATATAACACTTGCTTTTTGTGGCACAAATGGATATTTATGTTTCCTGATTTTTACTTGCTTGTTGCTTAATACTTGCTTGTTGCGGCAATAAAAGATTTTTACTTTGATTTCATTGAAGTTTCTTTTTCTTTAACGCTGAATGGCCTAATATCCATCTCTAGAAAGTGACCTCAGTTTTATACTGTTTCCACTGGGATATCTGTTATTTATAATGTTACAATATTTCTGTAAAGTTTCCGTTGTTGATACATGTATAGTGTAACTTTCCCCGAAATTCCTTTAATATTAAAAGCTTTCATAGTCGTGTTTATAACTAAACTGACTTAGTGCAGCTGGATATCGTGTAATGCAGTTTCGATCGTTCAGTACTTCCTGCATTTCACTTAGTTCTTTTCTCTGACACCATTTGTGCTGTTAGTCGAAGTTCCAACAAACATCATCAGAGACGGGTGGTCCAACCAATGCTCCTTTCATGTGCCAGTGGAAATCGCTCCAAATGTCATTAGCTGACCCCTTTGAAAAACTAGAAAAATATTGACGCTTGCACACACAATGTAAAAATGCATATGGCAGCTGTCAGATGTGCCAACATTAACGGTCCTACCCCAGAACTGCAGCACACTGTTTGTGCAAACAGTCAGCATCACAGTGTCCCACCAAACATTAAACCTAGTAGCTGGGCGTTTATCGTAGAATTCATTCCTTGGTCTACCTTTTTAGTGTTGACAGACTTACGTTGTGTTTCCAACAGGCAAAGGTCTCTACACGTGCAAGAAGACCAACACAGTGTACACAGGGGACTGGCTGGAGGATAAAAGAAGTGGTCAGGGGACGTTGACAAATGGCAAAAAGAAGGGTCTGAAGAAAGAATACTGCGGCGGCTGGAAGGATGGTCTCAGGCATGGCTATGGGACTCTGTTTTACTCAGAAAAAGAGTTCTACGAAGGAGAATGGTTAGCAGGAAAGAAGTCCGGCTGGGGCCGCATGTTCTACAAAGACGGAACCATCTACGAAGGGGAGTGGGCCGACGATAAGCGTTGCGGTCAGGGTTTGCTCCAGATGAACAATGGGAATCGATATGAAGGGACATGGGAAAACAACGTTAAGAATGGATGTGGCAAGTTATTTTACTTAGATACGGGCCAGGTTTTTGAAGGTGTCTGGAAAGATGACATTCCTAAATGTGGAGTCATGCGGGACTTCGGAAGGGACAGTGCTCCTTTCCAAACTCCATATCCAATCCCAGAAATCAGATTAGCCGACCCTGACAGTGTCTTATCGCAAGCTGATATGTTTCTGAAAATTCAGGATACTGACATATAACAATCTAATGGGAGTCGATATGAAACTCAGATAATACCTGGTCATTACATGTTCTGATCAAGACAGTTGTTGTAAAGAAAAGACTCAACCAGTTGTGTTGTGGATTTGTGTGTTCTTTTAAAAGTAACATGTACACACTTTTCGTAACATCGTTGTGCGTGTTCATACTTCACTTCAGAGCTACCCATAACGGCTGCGCTCTGTGCCAGGAGAAATGACACAAGATAAATACATAAGTTCCATTTGAAAAACTAGTGGGAAAAATATCAGCCCTGTCAAAATCCTGAAACGTGCACAAGTAAATTAAATGCATAGGACAGCCTGCAAATGTGCCAACACTCACAGTCTCCCACCAGAAATTAGCCTAATGTTGATGCAAACAGCCAATCACAAAACCGTCGTTTATACACGCAATACTGCATTTTTCATACTGTGTCCTCTTACATCACAGGCGTACAAAAAGTATTATTAAAGTAAACGCTGAAAAAAGAACTTAAGAATTAGTTATCTGTGTGGAAAGAACAAGGCAAAATGAACAAAATGTAATGTGTAATGTAGACAAAATAGCCAAGGTTGCCCAGGCGGCAAAACAAAAATATTTCACCCAGCAAAGAACCACTCAAAAAAATAAATAAATTGCAAACCAGTGCTATCTAGAGGACAATGACGTATATTTTAATGATTTTTAGATGCTTTATAATGTATTTATTATACACATATAATTTATTACTCGTAGCTATGTTATATTTATTACGTTATGTACGTAAATATGTGCTATCCAGTCATCTCCTTGTGAGATGCAATTTTTATTTGAAGCCCCACCCTGGCTCTTGCCAGAGGCCGCAATATAACCCGGCCATAAATATGGCTTAATGGTTGAATGCGGTTTCCGGGACCACTCCACGGGTGATCCTTATCTACATAGTGGCACTTTGTGTCATCCGGTGTTTATCGCTTGTGTGATGTCTTAGTGGGGTAAAATGTACTCCTACTACTGCTACGTAAATATGTGTGTCTGTTGTGATGCTCTGAGCTCATTTTTTTTAGTAATCATCAAATGACCACAGAGGGACAGCGTCGCTTACTTTCCTTTGATTTGTGGTTCATTGTTATCCCAATGAACTCGACATACGTTGACATGTGACAGCGACCATATCGTTAGTTTTATGAATTGGTTATTCCAAGCGACTCGTTTGGCATCAATGGACACATTATGAAAAAAAGGGGCAAACTGGTCTTGTAAATGTGGTGACAGGCACAATAAAACACAGCGAGGGGTTTGTGATGTAAATGTAGCGACGGATTGGTGATGTAAATATAGCAACAGACAGATGTAAAAGTAGCGACGGATTGGTAATGTAAATGTAACGACAGACAGATGTAAAAGTAGCGATGGATTGGTGATGTAAATTTAGCGAGAGACAGTTGTAAAAGTAGCTACGGATTGGCGATGTAAATTTAGCGAGAGACAGTTGTAAAAGTAGCGACGGATTGGTGATGTAAATGAGTGTGTATGTTGTCCAACAAGATGATGATGATCATTTTTTTTTAAATAATTTTTTTTTAATCTTTCAATTTTTTTCAGACAGATGTTAAAGTAGCGACGGATTGGTGATGTAAATGTAGCGACAGACAGATGTAAAAGTTGCAATGTGTTGGTGATGTAAATAGTTAAAAATCTGCCCAAAGTATTTCAGGATCCCCGCCGGTGCAACAGAGTTCGTGCACTGCGCTGAGATTCTTCACACACAGGCTAGAGTTAGATGTAGAACGGAGCACTTATGGGTTACACCCGTGTGCCGTGAAGTATTTGAGTGCAGGACAATAAACATATACATACTGCGTCGTGAAATATGTGAAAATGTGAGTGGCTTTACGTATGCCAGACAAAGTTAATGATTACCGTAACTGTATACAAAGCGGTTGTTGTAAAAACGTCAAATGTTTATAGCAATAAAGAGGAATACAACTTGAAGCAGTGTTGTTGTTGTTATTATTGTTGTTAACAAGATAATAGTCCGGGTTTGATCTCCAATGGTGACATGAGTAAGATCGATCCAGCTTAACGTGTTCTTCTTTGTCTTATTATCGTTCTTATCGTGTGACGCTGGTGTTTATGTAATCCACGAATTTCTGTAAAGTGTATTTTCAGTCAGTTTTGACACAAATGATTTTCCATGCCGTGATGTCAGACTGTTCAGCACCTTCTATCTCTGTCGGTTCACATCTGCATCTTTTCTTCTCCAACTTTCTTTTCGTCACAGTGTACTTTCGTTCTCTCTTTCTTATAGTATGGTCAAAGAATGTAGACTGCCTCCTTCTCATGTTGAATGCAGACATTTCCCCGTGTGGGTTCCGGGGCTCCATTGTGGGAAAAACAAGAATAGATGCACTGCCTTCCCAGCAAGCATGTCGATAGAGTCGACTAACTAGGGACTTACTTCGAAGTCGGAGTGCATCTGCCCGAGCGGCCAGGAACAATGAACTGCACATAAATAAGTCAGTAAAAAAGATATACACGCAAAACTCAGGCCCTGGCACAAAGCTAAAGTCCAAATGGACGAACAACCAGGACTTTAAGCTGCAGCTTATAGCCGGTGAACAAAGAAGAAGAAGAAGAAGAAGAAAAAGATGAAGAAGAAGAAGAAGAAGAAGAAGAAGAAGAAGAAGAAGAAGAAGAAGAAGAAGAAGAAGAAGAAGAAGAAGAAGAAGAAGAAGAAGAAGAAAAAGAAAAAGAAGAAGAAGATGAAGAAGAAAAATAGGAAGAAGAAGAAGTAGAAGAAGAAGAAAAAGAAGAAGAAGAAGAAGAAGAAGAAGAAGAAGAAGAAGAAGAAGAAGAAGAAGAAGAAGAAGAAGAAGAAGAAGAAGAAGAAGAAGAAGAAGAAGAAGAAGAAGAAGAAGAAGAAGAAGAAGAAGAAGAAGAAGAAGAAGAAGAAGAAGAAGAAAAATAGGAAGAAGAAGAAGAAGAAGAAGAAGAAGAAGAAGAAGAAGAAGAAGAAGAAGAAGAAGAAGAAGAAGAAGAAGAAGAATGCTGAAATAAAGAATCGACATTATAGCACCATAAGCGCTCGGTCACCATTTTCAAGTGTCTCCTCATGTGAGCAATCAGTTCTCTTCGCGACAATATTCCATCCGAGCCACGATTTCGAGCCCTAGGGATCTCTACAAATGTACAATTAACATTATATGTATATAAAACCTTAACACTCGGTCGTAAGAACTTTAACTAGTATCTACCACCCACTTCTTCCTTTCCACCATTTAATTTATCACCATCATAATCCTGTGCGTGCTGTTAGACAAACATGGCTCATTTATGATTTCTCCATTCAGCTCTATTGTATGCAAGTCGATTTCTGACATGGTGTTCAGCCCAGCGTTTTTAGCTTCTCGCAATAATATTTCCCTTGGATGTCCTCTCTTTTCTCAGACTGTTTGATTCCTTTTTTTGGTGCTTGTTTTGTAATTCTTTTGTAATTTCTTTGTTCCCGTGTAATTACTTGATGTTTTGTTGTGTGTGTACCAGAAGCTACATGGTTGTTTTATTTTGTAACCATTTTGTGTTTTCTCTCTCTCTGTCTCTGACTCTCTCCTTCACTGTCTCTCTCCTTCTCTCCCCCCCCTCTCTCTCTCTCTTTCTATTCATGTATTATGGATAATGTGTTCAGGTAGCGCACATTGCAAAGATACTCGTATGATAACACTTACTGCTGAAATATTATTGTAATAACATACACTATCATCATGCTAGTTCAATGACATACGCAATCATCATACTAGTATAACATATACCACCATCAAACGAGTACATTGACATACGCTGTTATTATTCTAGTACTTATGTACACTATCATCAGAATAGTACATTTACATCTTACATTTCACACATAAACTATCATCATACTATTACATTGACATAATGTATGGTCAAAATAGTACATTGACATACATTACCAACACGATCGTACTATAATATACACTATCAACATACCTGTATAATAAGTGCTATGAACAATATAGAATTTTCTTTTGGGACTGCGGAATATTCCTATAAAACGTTCAAATCATGTTCGTTCTTTGTCCAGACCTCATTGGTTAGTTTTCCTAATGGATTTTCCAGATTAACATTTACACGTGAATCCCAAAACATAATTTTTTTGCTATAATCTGTAAAAGATACAATAATGCTTATATTGGGGAAACCGGTAGGAAGCTAGCTGATCGCAAAATACACTGCCAACAACATTATTCTACAATGACAACATGCACTATCAACATACTTCTAAAATAACATAACTGACAACATACTCGTACAATAACACGCACTGCTAACATATTCCTTCAGTAACAAACATTATGAAAATGCTATGTTTAATAACAAACACTATCAACATACTTCTACAATAACATAACTGACGAAATACTCGTACAACAGTAGGCACTGCTAACATATTACTTTATTTACAGACATTATCATTACCAACATACTCGTAAAATAACGTTCACTGGTAACATATTCCTACAGTAACATACATTATCAACACACTCTGTTCAATAACATACACTATGAACGTACTTCTTCAATAACATAAACGCACAACATACTCGTACAATAACATGCATTGCTAACATATTCCTAAAAATGACATACATGATCATTAACAAGATTCTTCCTCTTAAAGTCCATGCCGTGTGGCGTTGGTAGTCATCTATCCACAACCTTCTGTCTCGTGTACTTTCAGTCAACTCTGAAACAGATGATCGTCCATTCCTTGATGCCAGACCGTCCAGCATCTGTTCTCTCTGTCTTCCTTTGCATCTCCTTCCGTCCGGCTTTCCCACTGTCACGAGGTACTCCAGTTTTCTCCTTCTCATGATATGACCAAAGAATGTAGACTGTGTCTCTTCCTGATGTGGGAAATCTGTTCTCTTCATTACCAACAAAGTAGTAAAATAACATAAACTGCTAACATTTTCCTACACCAACATACAATATGTGC